ATATTCATACATTCATGTTCACATACCGTAAAAACAATCGCTTTCAAAAGAAATCCGTCGGGCAGAACACGAATATATGAATATGCCCCCCCCCCCCAATTATCGGTCTAGCTACGGCCCTATGGTACCACAGAATAAAAAGGTACAGCAGGAGCGTAACTCAAGCAAGTATTTGTCCGCGTTTTTACAAGCGATTCGTCATCAATTACGCCATCCTTGCTAATACAACCGGCACTTTGCACCTACCAAAACCTGATAAAAACGTCCGGTTGTACTAGCCAGGATGGCGTGAGCGAGTTAAAATTTTAGTGGACGTAAAACAATAAGGGAAACGACTCGAGTTACACTTCTGCTGTACTTCTTGTGCTGATACTATGGTTACAGTATATTCAACAATAAATGCTAACGAATTCAGGATTCATTATGGAATAAGATCTTTATTAGTATGTATAAGGTTGTTTGACACTGAATAAAAAATTGAATGAATTCATGATTAACCTTTAACTGGCAATGCGCCTTATGTACTGTACTTTGTTATTTTACTCTGTATAACGCCAGACGATTTTACTGTACCCGTCAAGGGGAACGTGCTGGCGCTCAATGCATGGGTTAAAACATAAATATTAATGAACAACCTACCATATCGTAATTTTTCTAGTTTTTACTTCTGGATGACATTAAAGAGGCAAAGAACATTGATTTGAAAGAAAACTCTGTTCAATTAGAAGTAAGCAACTACTGTACCAGTCCAAAAATTGTTAAGTGGGATTGTCTGTACTTTTTAGTTGAGTGGAGCCGGTGGACAGTGATCCTTATAAACATGCGAAGGCTAGACTGCGAGCAATCCCTCTATTTTCCTTCGTTTTATTGTTTCCCGGACTAAGATTGAACGCGCGGGAAAATGGCAAAAAGGGGCGGAGACGAGAGGAAAAATAGAGGATTGCTCGCAGTCTATGCGAAGGCTGATCTTCAGACTACTTGTTCACAATAGAATTGTTTTATAAGATTGCACGTATGAAAAAGATTGTTGAATCTAATATAATTGTTTTGACTTTGTTATTGTTACATTATATCGATTTGTTGATTTCTATTCCTGTAACTATAGCTACGATTTTCTATTGCGTGTTTATATCAGGACCAAATTTTCATATTAACTCTTTGAGAAATGGTCTTTACACAAAAGGTTGGAATCCTTTGCTTAAATTTTCCAATCTGACGAAGATCAATACCCGAGAACTCTCTCGTCTACGTTACTGTCAAGCGTTTTCAGAATTTCGATTGAAAACCTCAATTGTTCGGCATTTTCCTCACTTGGCATTTTAATGATTTTGTTATTTCCAGGCTCCACAGTTAATTCCTAGAACGCCAGTCACTCTTATCACGTTTGATGATACGAAGAAAGGATCAGCGCTCTTGAGGTAAAATATATTTCCCGCTCCGCAAATGCTCTATAAATGCTCAGTTGCGTGCAAGCAAAAAAAACGCAAACATGACTTGTGACGGATACGTGCGGTTAATTTAATTTATCTCAAAGATACTGTATGTTCACGGCATGAAATTTTAAAAGTTTTTAGTCGCCCTAAAGCTACCAACGAATAAAATCTGGTCGCCAAATTTAATATCAGATTGCCCTGTGTCAATGTGTTATGAAGTCTTTTGTACATATAAACAACATAAAAAACAGTTGTTTTATGTTGGAAAATTATATGCAAACAGCAAAAGCAGGATGAAATACTTGAGTTACTTCCTTTTTTTATCATTTTCATTTTTTTCTCATCGTACGAGGGCTGGTGGCAAATGACTGGTTGCGACTTGGAAATGACTGGTTGCGACATTTGGCGACTTGGCATCGGTCATTTGAACCCCTGTGTATGTTGTATACATATACTGTATGCATTGGATGAGTAGTACAGTATGACATTACACGCACACACATATGGCAGATTTACTATATACACACTCTATAATGTGATTTGTTTTGACCGAATTGGCGAATTTGACGTATCGCTTATCTAAAGGCAAGTATACTTTTTATTGTAGTCTCACTGGTGAAGTTCTGGGAAACAGAAATGACTTCAAAGTAAGGTTAATGTAATAAAGAAAAAATTGGATTTTCAGAAAAGCTTTAAAGTAAAATTCGTCTAGAATTAAGGATGATAATTTATTTCAGATGAATACATGTGCAATTCATTTGGGTTCTGGAGCTTTGCTTCTTGACATGTCAAGTTTACATTGTGTACAAAGTGAAGCATTTCAACGCAGCTCTCAAACAACTCATGGTAATATTGAATTTTATATGACAATAAACTATAATTTACTATTCGACACTACAGAAATGTTCTTTTCCATGTAAATCTGGAAAATATTTATTTACCCTATAATTTCAAAAGATCGCTGTGAATTACCACAAAGTTCTATTAAATTATTTCCGCTTCATTTTATTATTCCATTCGAATCATACAATACCTTTCTATATTCCATTGCATGTATTCCATTATACAGTGTATCCACGCGCTACCGAGAATTACATTTAATATAATATTTATGTCCTCAGACAACATCGGACAACAGGAAATTGCAGAAAGTCATCCTAACGGAGTACAAGGTAAATATTACAAAGAAATCAATGTTATCAATGGCTTTCTCTGGATGTGTTATGGTTCCATCCTATGCATCTAACGGGTATTGCAAAAAAAATATCCAGTTTGATTTAATATAACGTCAAAGCTAGAACAGTTTTATATCCAGGAAGAGCTAACATGTTTGCAATAAGGTTTTGACGTACCTGTACAGTATTGATCAGATTTTGTTTCAGATGTTTGCAACGGCCTCGATGACCCACCAGATGCGAACATGATGTGTGGCAGTCCAGGCGGTGATATGGACTATGACGATGATCTACCTTGTTCACCACTTGGTGTCACAGAGGTTGGAGCAATATCACATGGCGTGCAATTACGAGAAAGAAAAGAAGACTTCAAAACACAAAACGCTGTGGAACAAAAGGTATTTAGGGTCGGGTAGGCAATTTACTATAAGTAGTACAAGGCAGGTTGCTACAAAAAGTAGCGAGCTTGAGCAAGCCACGTCAATTTGCCGAGGGAGGACTGGATTCAAAACTGTGTTTGTGACATATGACAAAACGTAAGATTTTTAAAGTTTTTTTTTGCTTTCTTATACGAGCGCTATATGATTAGTGATCAATTCGAAAGCTTACGCCCCTTTGATCACTACGCACTTTCATTTTACTAAATTAACTTGAAATTATTAATTCAAATCATAATTATTTGTAAAATCTTATACACATTTTCCTTGTTTGGAAATAGTGCAGTTCCTGGGTAAATCATGAATAAATCTAAATGCAAAATGCCGCCAAAATTAGTTATACCGATTTTCGGGTGACGTCCATGTCGACAAAAACGTCGCTTGCTGAAGCTCACTAATACATACTGTACACCACCTTTTAGAGGTCTCAGGAGATTCTTCTGTTCCATTCCCATTCTCGCTTTATATGGTTGTACGGGTTTATTTATAGTCATGCCCAACATGCATACAGTATAATTACATGGAAGGACGCTCATTATTCATACTACAGTAAAATAAATCATTCCCTTGTTTCCCTTCTTAGATGAAAGATCCCTGGGAAACGTTGGATCCTCATGATCCAAGTGGCGGAATTGAAAAGATTTTTAAAAAAGGTATCATCAAACTAATTGCTTATTTCACCATATGATAGCTAGTGCCTAAGTATAAGGTTTGGTTTCTTGAATCGTTGGTTCTTCTAGTGCAGTTCAACAATTATGACTATTCTCTGTTGGTGTTAGTAAGCAATCCCCGAGAAGATAACATTCCAAGGTTTCCACACTCCATTCTAGTAAAGAGCGTTTCCAACTTGGGGCAAGAGAGTAATCCTCTTGTCAAACAAAACTTACAACTGCGCAGGCAAACTCGTGAGTCATTAGCAGTCATTAACAATGGTTATTGTTAAAGGCGTAACTTTGATGCGTGGCACATAAATGTCAACAGAGGCGGACACGAGGAGCAACTGACCCCGCCCCCTCCCCATCAATAGCGAGCTTAAGATCTACAACGCGAATTTGTGACGCGGACGTGCTTACCGAAGCCTAGTTTTCGCGTGTAAGCCTAGTCAGAGTTGTCAGAGTTTATTTCTTTGAGATTTGTGACACTGTGATGACACGTTAACAGCCATATGAAATGATAGAAACCAGACTTTATAGACTATTGTTACGAATGCACATTTTCCCGCCAAAACTACCATCCGAGACGACGTGATATTTGCAAAGACTCGTCGTCATAGAAGTCGTAAAAACTTATGATAAAAAATATCTTGTTAATATATTGCTAGCCTCTGTTATGTTGTACATTTTTTCCAGTATAATTTCATTTTATTTACTGTGATACAAATATTTTAATGGAATTTGCCATCGTTTTAAAATAAAACTTGTTTAATGCGACGTCCGCGTCGTAAGTTCGCGTTGTAGATCTTAAGCTCGCTATTAATTTGTAAGGGACGGACCATTAGAAAAGTGAGGGGGGGACAGAAAAAAAATCCATGCAAACAAAAAATGTTTGAAAAAAAATACATGCAAACAAACTTGTTTAAAAAAAAATTACAAACAGAACAACAATAGAACTTTCATTTTAAATGTACATCGGACAAAACTGAACTAAATCTTTGGAATATTACGAAATATAAATATATAATATATTAATATGCAATTTCTTTCAATATTAACAGTAACTCTTATACAGTTTTATTATATACTATCAAAATATTTTCTATTGTCTTTAATAATCCTCATTCACATTGTCACTGTCCTCGATCAGTGGCGTGACTACTATGGGCTCGGACCGAGAGAACCCGGGGGCCCCAACCCCAATGGGCCAAATGGGGATCTCAGGCTATAGAGCAAAAACATTGGCCAGGGCCTCTGATATGTTACAATGTCGTTTTCTGACCATCAGAATTCTGTAAAATATCTCCCCAAACTCCGGGAAATGGTATTTCAGAGAATCTAGATTCAAAAATTTTCCGGGTGAGCATGCTCTGGACCCCCTAGAAAACTTGTGCATATATGGTGCTTAACTTGTGCCTTCGGCACTTCTACTAGGGGGCCTTCGAAAGTTTTTAACCGGGGGCCCCTGAAATCGCATTGCCACTATCTTCTTGATCTACAACTAAACTACAACTTTTCCCTTCATCTACAATCAAACTGACACTATCTTCTTCATCTACAATCAAACTACCACTATCCCCTTCATCTATCAAACTGACACTATCTTCCTGATCTATAAATATAATCTCAATGGCAATATCTTCTTCTACATTTTCTTTTCCTCTACTTAATCTTGCTCTTTTCTTTTATCATGTTTTGTTTCTTCTTCCTTTTGCTCATTTGTTCTGCCATACGTATATCATTAAATGATATCTGGTTTAGCCTAAAATATCCTTAAAGATATTATTTTGCAGTGTGCATTAAAGAGATATTTTTTGTCAAGAGAACAGTTTCGTTAACATTTGTATAGTTGTATTGGGAAAAAAATTGCATGCGAGAAGACATATTTAAAAAAAACATGCATACACAGCTGACAACCTGGAAAAAAATGCAAACATAAAAAATTTCCCCCCCCCCCCAT